TTGAACATCTTTTCATATGCCTATTGGCATATGTCTTCCTTGGAAAAATGTCTATTCAGATCCTCTGCCCATTTTTTAATCAGGTTGTTTGTTTTTTTGTTGTTGAGTTGTCTGAGTTCTTTATATATTTTGGATATTAACCCCTTATTGAAAATATTATTTGCAGATATCTCCTCCCATTTTGTTGGTTGCCTTTTTGTTTTGTTGATGGTTTCCTTTGCTGTGCAGAAGCTTTTTAGTTTCATGTCCCATTTGTTTACTTTTGGTTTTGTTTCCCTTACCTTTGGAGTCAAATTCACAAAACCACCCCGAGACCAACGTCCAGAAGCTTAGTGCTTGTGTTTTCTTCTATGAATTTTATTGGTTTAGGTCTTATATTCCAGTCTTTAATCCATTTCGAGTTAATTTTTGTGTATGGTGCAAGATAGTGGTCTAGTTAAATTCTCTTGCATATGGCTGTCTAGTTTTCCCAGCACCATTTATTACAGAGATATTCCTTTCTCCATTGTGTATTCTTGGCTCCTTTGTCATAAATTAGTTGCCCATATAAGTGTGGGTTTATTTCTGGGCTCTCAATTCTGTTCTGTTGATCTGTGTGTCTGTTTTTATGCCAATACCGTACTATTATGATTACTGTAGCTTTGTAGTATAGTTTGAGTCAGGGAATCTGATAACCTCTGGCTTTGTTCTTTTTTCTCAGGATTGCTTTGGCTATTCAGGGTTTTTGTGGTTCCATACAAATTTTAGGGTTTTTTGTTGTTGTATTTCTGTGGAAAAAATGCCATTGGGATTTTGATGGGAATTTCATTGAATCTATAGATTGCTTTAGGTAATATGGACATTTTAACAATGTTAATTCTTCCAGTTCATGAGCACGGGATATCTTTCTATTTCTTTGTGTCTTCAATTTCTTCAACAATGTCCTGTAGTTTTCAGTGTACAGTTCTTTCGCCTCCTTCTTTGATGTCCTTTGTTAAGTTTATTCCTAGGTATTTTAGTCCTTTTGTTTTGTAAATGAATTTTCTTCATTTCTCTTTCTGATAGTTTGTTGTTACTGTATAGAAACAACACATTTTTTGTATTGAGTTTGTAAACAAATACATACTGTATTTGTTTATTGTTTCTAAGTTTTTGGTGGAGCCTTTAGGATATCAGAGTATGTCAGGGCCGGCCGAGTGGCGCGTTGGTTAAGAGCTGGCTTGGGATGCCAGAAGGCTCTGTTTCGGATCCCACATATGAGGGCCAGTGATACTACCCTCTACAGCTAAGATGCTGAACAACAGCTTGACCTGGAGTTGGGCTGCTGTGAGTCACTGGCGATGGCATAGGCTGCAGCCCCTGCTGCCAGTGGGTTCCCATGGGCTACCGTGTGTGGCAGTCCAGAAGCTGGCGACTGATCTGCCTCGCCTTGGAAGAGCGCAATGATGGTGCCAGCTTGGGCCAGTGAAGCAATGTCCTCCACAACTAGACTGAAGAACAAACAACAACAAAAAAGGACAGCAACTTGTCTGTTCCCCTTCCCCCAATTCCCCAGCACTGTTCCCATCCCCCAATTCCCCAAAAAATCTCTAAAAACAAAGAGTATGTCATCCACAAATAGTGACAGTTTTACTTCTTCCTTTCCAATTCAGATGCCTTTTATTTATTTTTCTTGCCTAATTGCTCTGGCTAGGACTTCTGGTACTAAATAAAACTGGCAAGAGTGTACATCAAGAGTGTTCCTGATTTTAGAGGAAAAACTTTCAGTTTTTCATTGTTGCATATGATGGTAGCTGTGGGTTTGTTATATATGTCCTTTATTATGTTGAGGTACTTTCCTTCTATACCCATTTTATTGAGACTGTTTATCATAAATGGATGTTGTGTCTTGTCAAATGCTTTTTCTGTATCTGAGATGAACACATGATTTTTATCCTTCATTTTATTAATGTGGTGTATCATGTTTATTGATTTACAGATGTTGGACCATCCTTGCATCAGAATAAATCTCATTTCATTGTGATGTGTGATCCTTTTGATGTATTGTATTTGATTTGTTAGTATTTTGTTGAGGATTTTTACATTTGTATGGTCATCAGAGATATTGGCCTGTAATTTTCTTTTTTGTGTGTTATTGTCTGGCTTTGGTATCAGGGTAATGCTGGCCTTGCAAAATGAGTTAGGAAGCATTCCCTCCTCTTTTGACTGTTTGGTTGAAATCACTAGTGAAGCCATCTGGTTCTGGACTTTTGTTTTTCAGGAGGGTTTTGATTACTGTGTCAGTTTCCTTACTAGTGATCAATCTGTTCAGGTTTTCTATTTCTTCATGATTCAGGGTAGGAAGGATGTATGATTCTAAGAATTTGTCCATTTCTTGTAGGTTGCCCAAATTGGTGGCATATAGCCTTTTATGTATTCTTGTATGATCCTTTGTACTCCTGTGGCAGCCATTGTAATTTCTCCACTCGCCTTTCTGATTTTATTTATTTGAGTCTTCTCTTTTTTTTACTTAATGAATCTAGCTAAAGGTTGGTCAATTTTGTTTATCTTTTCCAAGAACCAGCTCTCCATTTCATTGATCTTTTCTATTGTCTTTTTAGTCTCCATTTCATTTATTTCCACTCTGATTTTTATTATGTCCTTCATTCTGACTTTGGGGTTTACTTGTTCTTCTTTTTCTACTTGGTTAAGGTGTAATGTTAGATTGTTTATTAGATTTTTCTTGTTTCTTGAGATAGGTCTATACTGCTATAAACTTTCCTCTTAGTACTGCTTTTGCTGCATCACAAAGATTTTTGGAATGTCATATTTTCATTTGCCTCTATGTATATTTTGGTTTCTTTTTTTATGTCTTCATTGGCCCAATAGTTATTCAGTAGCATGTTATTTAATCTCCACATATTTGTAATTTTTCCAGCTTTCTTCTTGTAATTGATTTCTGGTTTCATACAATTGTGGTGAAAAGATGTTTGATATGATTTTAGTCTTCTTTGAGGTTTGTTTTGGTGTCCCAACATATGGTCTATCCTTGAGAATGTTCCATGTGCACTTGAAAAAATGTGTATTCTGCCGGTTTGGGGATGAAAAGTCCTGTAAATATTAAATCCATCTGGTCTAATGTGTCTTTTAAGGCTAGTCTTTCCTTGTTGACTTTCCGACTGGATGATCTATCCATTAGTGTAAGTGGGAAGTTAGTCTCAGAAGATCTTTTATTTACATTCTGATACAAAGCCAGGGTGTGGCTCAGAATTCATTAAGAAACCAGAAACAATAACTCTTATGACTTTGCACTGAAACTTTTTTAAAGAATTCTTTATTTTGCACAATAGTAAGGCGTACTATTGATAAAGTTTTTCCTAAAATTAACAGGAAACAAAATGGTAATGCTCTGAAAGTTTGTGTTTTCTTTTCATCAGATACTCTGACTTCGTTGTTCATGAAATAGGAAAAGATGGACGGATCAGCCATTTGGATGACTTGTCTGTCCCAGTGGATGAGGAGGTAGGAGCCAGCTCTCTGGAAAAAGTCACCCTCTGTATAAAAATCGCATTTCCTAGAGATCATAGAAAAATAGAGCTTTAACATCCTTGAATTCTGTGTGTGATTCACTGGGAGTTCTCATGGTTATTTTAAAGGATCCTTCAGAAGATGTATTTACAGTTTTGACAGCTGAAGAAAAGCAGCGTTTAGAAGAGCTCCAGCTTTTTAAAAATAAGGAAACCAGTGTTGCCATTGAGGTAAATATGTTTTTATAAATGACAGATAACCAGTATCCAGATAAACTATGGCCAAAAAAAGTTGGTTTTATTTTTTAAATGTTTCATATGATTGCAAATCAACAAAGAAATCTGTTGTTTTGAACCTCGTAGTGACCATTATATCATGTAGTGTGTCCTGGGAAAGGACTACAGCAGCTGACAGTGAAATGTGTGGCCCCGGCTCTCGCTCTAACAGCCTCTTGGTCTCAAATAGGGCTCTGGGAGGGAAAGGAATTGGGGTAAGGGGGTGTTTCTTTGCTCAACCTAAGTCACTTCTGGTTAAGGAAAGGAGAAAACTACTAAATAGAATCATAAATACCTTTTTTACAGCTTTTTGTTATGAAAATTTTATTCTCGATTAATGCTGTCCAGTGGAATTATAATGTGAGCCATGTTTTTAATTTTAAATCTTGTAAAAATTTGAAAGTAAAAAGAAACAAGTGGAACTAATATTAATATATTCTCTTTATCCTAATACATTAAAAATATTTCAATATGTAATCAATATTTTAAAAATCACTCATGAGGTGTTTTACATTCTTTTTATGCTACTAAGTCCTTAAAATCCTTTGTTAAACTGACAGCACATCTCAGTTTACACCAGCCACATCTCAAGTGCTCAATTCCCACATGTGGCTAGTGGCTACTGTATGGGACAGAGCAGCTCTGGGTGATATCTGTGCAAGGTGATATGTTACAAAATTTTAAGAATGTTGTAGGAGATTTGTAGAATTTTAAGTTTATGTTAAATTCATTTTGTAGCATATTTTAACATCTTACTGGATTTGGGGGTGTCTGAAATTCCCCATTCCATCACTCCTAGTTAGTAACAGTTTACTCTAACTTTTCAGAAATAATCTACCTTCAACTCTCATCTCCTTCTGTTCCCCAAAGTATGTGATACTACAACAACTTTAGGGATCTTCAATTACTGAATTTCCTCATAGACTGAACCTTTAGCACTGTCAAGGAGAAAATTCCTAAGAATTGGTTTTGAGAATAGTCCAGAAGGTTGGTCCAGGTTTCCTTTGCTTGTACAATGCAGTCGTATAGTTCAGCCCCATAACATGCATTTTTCTACCTAGATGGCAAGATTTATTATCATCTTGCAAACTATAGTTATTCTTTCTACTGAAAATATTTTTCTTTAAAGGGCATAAACCATGGCAAGTGTCCTTGTCCGTAAAATAAGGAGGACAGACTTGCCGCATTTTTGAGATCCAAATATGTATTCACCCATACACACAAACCGTGCTTCCAGTTCAGTGCTTTCAGTAAATTCTAGATCTAGACTCACTTTTGATATGAAAATGTCACTTGTCTATAATTGTGATGTAGTGTGTTTTCTTTTATGTTTTCCTTTTGCTAAAATATTAAGTTTAGCTAGTAGTGGTTATAGTATATCTGTTTTTCAGGTTGTAGTCTATTAATGGGTCATGAAATCAATTTAGTGGCTCTTAACCAATTTTTTAATGCAATAAAATAAAATAGAAAAGAACGGCACATTGCACATAGTAAGGGTAAGTCTTCTTTTGTAATTTTTTTGGGATTTTTAATACGATAGGTGCATATATATATATATATATATATATATATATATCTTATGAAATATATACACATATATGTTTCTAGCTGTTGAATCCAGATATGAAATGATTTCTTAGTGTGAGACACATTAAAAAATGGAAGAACAGTCATGTAATAAGTTTACATTTTTTTATGTTGATTTTTTTTTGTGTGTGTGAACAAATGTGCTAGAACATCATTATAAAATAATTCAGTATAGAACAGAATTCATCATGAGGCAGTTGTATATTGGACTATTCGAGGGAGCTGAGTTTCTGACGTCNTAATATAAAAGCACTGAGAGGAGTATCTTTACTGCTAAAACTTGAACCACTTTCTTAATCATTTTCTTAAGATACGCCCTGAAAATAGTATTTCTGGGGCAAAAGACATACATATTTTTAAGGCTTTTGATGCACGCTGTTCAGTTCCATGCAGAAGTGTTATGCCATTTTTCTGTGCCACCAAAGGCATACACCAACATCACGAAGAATTATTTTATAAATGATTTTTTGGGACCCTAGGAACTAAGTTAACTGTGCCTCTGTTTACCGAGACCTACTTTTTTGTAGAAGTGATTGTTGTTACTTCCCTACTCTCTCTTCCTTCCTAAAAGGTTCTCTTAAATGCTTTCTTGGAGCCTTAAAAATGGAGATGACAGAAATGACTGGTGTGTCACTGAAACGTGGGTCCCTTGCTGTTGAAGATAATGACAGTGTGGCCCCAGCAGAAGAGGCAAAAAGACAGAAGGTCTCTGAGTGCTGTCTGACCAAAGGTCAAGATGGGCTAGAGAATGACTCTCCACCCAGCAGTGAAAACATGCCTGGGCTGCCCAACGCTGTACAAGCTGGAGAGGGTAAAAAGAATTCTGCTGCTCAGTTGGAAGAGGAAGAGGAGGAGGAGGATGGCCTGTCAGAGGCGGGAGACGAGGAGGAAGCTGAGAGTTTTGCAGACATGATGAAGCATGGACTCACTGAACTTGATGTAGGCATCACCAAGTTTGTAAGTTCTCATCAAGGATTCTCAGGAATCTTAAAAGAAAGGTATGTTTAGTTTACGTACAAAGTTGTTTTAGTTATGTTCATTTTTTTCAAAGAAATCAGCAATACAGTCTTCCATTTAGCTTTCTATCCCCAAGGATTGATTACACAGATGGTCAAAAAGAAAAGGATGAAGGAGGATTGCCTAAATGAGTAAATGGAACCATTTAAAGATAAAATGAGTAAATAATAATTTCCCAGTGGCATGCATTGTTAATGTGTGAATGGATGCTGTTCATTTCTTTAAATTATTTTAAATGGTTTCAACTTTTCTTCTGAATTAGCCCTAAAATCTTAACTCTTTCACTTGAATGTGCTGCATCTACAGTAGAAAGGTAGTGTGGTCTTTGGAGCCAGATGGACCTGGGTGTGACTCCAGTGTGGCCACTTCATAGTTACTTAACTACTCTGAGCCTCAGTGTCCTCATCTAGAAAACAGGTCACAGCACCACCTTGGGTTGTTGAAACAATGTTAAATAATGTGTGTAAAATACTTAGCATAAAGGTAAGCTTCAGGTTGGTTCATGGTGGACTTACTGGGTTCTGATTTCTTTAACCATTTACTCTATTTTATCATTAGTATGACTGTATAATCACAGGGTAACATAAATAAGCTTTGATTCATGCATTTCTCTGGCGGAATATTCTAGAAGCTCAGAGGGTCTTTTTCTTTTTGTATTGACGTAACATTGGTTAATAACACTATATGAATTTCAGATATACAACATTATAATTCAATATCTGTATACTGAATTGCATGCATGCTCATCACCAAAAGTCTAGTTTCCATCATTACCATATTTTTTACCCTCTTTACCCATTTTGCCCTTCCCCCCACCTCCATTCCCCTCTGGTAACCACCATT